TAAGTCTTTCCCCACCTCAGGAGACACAGTGGCCTCCTGTGCCCTGCGGTGCCTGCCCAGGTGTGTGTCACTCCACACGGGCTGTTGACACCATGAGCAAGTGACCCCCACTGACCCCAAGTCTACAGTCCTCTTTTCCTAAAAGGTGGGGGACCGCTGGCATCACCTGGGCCTACAGAAGGCAGCAGTGTCTTTCATGTGTGTATAAAGGACAGGAAAAGGTATGATTCCATTTGCCTTGAAACTCCCATAAAACACTTACAAAGTGGCGGCGTCCATCTTGGCGCCTCCAGGAAGCGCGGCGGAAGTGACGTTGCCCCGTGGGAACTTCCGGAATCGACTTCCGGGCGGAGGGGTCCGCTTCTGGGAGTCGGTGGATCCAGTTTTGTCTTTGAGGTTTAATAAGGGAGGAACTAGGGCGGGACTGGTTTCGCGATCTTCGCGCTCAAATCCGCCAAATGATTTAATTTCAAAATGCGGGTCCTCTAAGACCGGAAGTACCCATTTTCCCCGAGGGATGGAGCTGGTGGTGCCAAGTCAGCCGGGCGGGGATGCGCGGCCCGCGGCGCCGCTCCCTCCTCTGTGCCTCTGCGTGCGGGGCCGACCCTGGCTACCGGGTGCCCCGAGAGGGAGAAGTGCCCCGTGCGTGCGGGAGAGGTGCCCCGTGGGGGAGAAGTGCCCCGTGCGTGCAGGAGTGGAGCCTCGGAGGAGGAGAGGGCCGCAGAGCCAGGCCTCGCCCCGACCATGTGGGTGCCCTTGGGCAAGAGAGCCACCTCTCTGGACCTCTTTCCTCTCCTGCACCAGGGGGTTAAACCCGCCCGTGGCTGACACGAAGCACCTGTATGTTCTTATCAACCCCCTTTGTCCAACTTCTGAGAAGTGTCACCAGCCGGGAAGGCGGGAACTGAATTTATCCTTTCCCGGAAACGGCCGTCTCCCATCAGTCATGCTCATACGCCGGAAAAGACTGTGTCGTGACTTCACACGTTTTTCTGTATTAAGAATCCTGTTTATTACTCTGCTACCCGCTTCCTACCCTGCCATGTGTAGAATGCGCTTAACCGTTCGGACACTCACTGAGCGCCTACTAGCATTTGCTAGGAACTGGTAGGCACCAAGCTAGGCAAGGGGGGTGGGGGAGAGAGGGAAGATGTGCGCTTGAGGAGCTCCTGGGCCAGAGATGACCACAGCTGGCCTGCAGTGCCCTGCAGTGTTTGTAAATGTATGGAGGCGTTTCATGAAGTCAGCAGACAGTTTCTGAGCAGCTGCAGCTGCTAAAACCCTAACTTACCTAGGGCAGAGGTAAGTTACAGTCAAGAGGAGGCAGCCTCACTACGGTGCCATCATAGAAACACTATGTAGGGCTATGGGAGGACAGAATAAGGGGTAGTGTGTTCCGCTGGGAGGTGTGGGGAGCAGGGAAATTAAAGAATTTATATGCCACCATGACCAAGTAGGATTTATCCCAGGGATGCAAGGATGGTACAATATCCGCAAATCAATAAACGTGATACATCACATAAACAAATTGAAAGAAAAAAACCACATGGTGATATCAATTGATGCAGAAAAAGCATTTGACAAAATTCAACACCCATTACCCATGGACATAAACAAGAGTGTTGTTGGCCTGGGGTCACGGGGGAGGGGGGAGGACATCTGTAATACTTTCAACAATAAAGATAATTTTTGAAAAAAAAAGATACAAGAAAAACAACACAAAATAAACTAAAAAATCCCACAACTAAGGCTACAGATATCTGGGCTTATTATCTTTAATTCAAAACTATAATTATATTTCATTTCTACACTAATTGTATTTAAAATTATGTTATTTAAGGTCATTAAATAGAGGGTGCTAAAATAAACTAAAATAAGGTTTTAAAAAAAAAGTGGCTTGAGGTGTGTCAGATACAGGGGTGGGTAGCCTGGAAAGTCACCCAGGAAGTAAAATTTAAGTCAGTTGGCACTCTTCCATACCTTCTATATGCCGTGGGTATTTGCAAAAAGAAATGTAATAAGAATGTCAAGTTCCTACTGGTTTAATTCTATCATTTCTTCAGCCTTTCTAGCAAACCCATTGGAGCAAAGGATTGAACAGCTGGGTGGATCATATGGCCTTTCTACACAATACCTCCTCTTTCTTGTTTTGTTTTTCCTTCTCAGATTCCTAAAGAACCAGGGTTCATCTCTTCAAAGCCAACGGGGTCTTTGCCCCCCTTTGTACAGGGCTAGTGCCTTGTTAACAGGAAGCGAATTCCCCTTGTCAAATAGTCTTCTGTGACTTGTCGCCCTGCAGAGAGGTCAGTGCTGGGTCTCCCTGGTAACCGAATATTCCCCGAGCATGGCACCAGCCCTCGGGGCTCCATATGTAGTGTGTTCAGGTCAGATCTGGTTTCCCCTTTGGTGGTTTCAGGGCCTTTGTGTTTGGACCTGAAATCCTTCCAGCTTTGTCCCCCGATATTTTGAATGGCACTACTTGCACACCCTATTGGTGCTCCTTAAAAGCCGGCTGGAAGAAATCCAGGAACTAATGAGCACATCTTCACTGTTGGGGCCCCCGGAATGAGTTCTGAAATGTGTGCGCGGTGCACCTTAGTGACAGGTGTATGATATCAGTGTGCTACCAGCCAAGCCATGCTCATCTTCCATGTGCATTACTTGCGGGGGGAGATGAATTTGACTCTGACCTTTGCTGGCCTCCCCTTAGCAACATGTATAGCGGTTGCTTAGCGTAGTGCCTGGCTTGTAGTATGCCTTCGAGCGGTGGTAGCTACTGGGCTTGCCAGGCCTTGCTGCCAGGCTCCTGCTCACCTCTTAGTTATTCCTTCTCCTCAGGCTCCAGCGACTCTTTGTTGCAAGTTCCCTTTTGCCGATCCTCTCGGCAGTTGATGGGGCAACAACCATGTCTTAGTATCTCCCCAGGGCCTTGCATGTAGTAGGAGCCCCCCATTACCTGGTTTTCACTTTGGCCCTTGATCACAATTGACTGGCTTTCACTGTGGCCACACTTATGTCTGCTCAGCATCCTTCTTCTGAGAAACCACTTCCCTCCTTCCTGCGGGAGTCCTGCAGAGTTCTCAGGAGGCTGGGAGAGGGCACAGGACCTGAGCCAGATCTATCAGCCCCAGGACTTAGGTGGGGGTTGGGATGACCTTCTCTATTGCTATGGTGAGCTATGAGGTTAGTGTGGGCTTGGGGCTGTCACCATGGAGACACATGGAGCCCACCTAGGAAGGAAGCTTTGAGATGCAAGCCAAGCCAAGAGGTCTTGGTAGTGTCGTCTCAGCTCCTGAGTCCAGCCCCTAGTTAAGGCCGAGGTCCCCTAGGTAAGGACTTGCGCCCTGGAGCTACTGCCTGGCTGGCTGTCATTGCTGGTCTGTATCGCTGGCCCTTTCAACCTTGGGAAAGCCACTTACTCTCCTTTTTGCCTTAGTTCCCTCACTTGCAAAATGGGGCTAGGAACAGTACTGCCCTCCTAGGGTTGGAAGGTTAACAGTATTAAGACATGCAAAGTACTTAGAACAGTGCCTGGCCCGCAGGACACTCTCAGTCTTAACTGTTGTTAGTATCAGTTGTTAAGACTACACAGCTATCTCAGCAAAAAAAAAAAGTGTGTTTTTTTTCTCAAATTAACGCTAATTAGAGTTGTTTCCTGCACTTGCAACCCTGAGGCCAGACCAGTGCGGCAGCGCTCGGTAGCTGCCCCAGCAGCGCCCCCTGGACTTCGAGCACCTCCAGAAATGAGTTCATATGTGCAACGCCCTTAGAAAAACACCCAGCATAGTGAACAAGCGCTGGTAATAGAGCTCACCGGGGACGCTGGCCTTCATTCTAAAACTCCCTTTAGTTATATAAATAACACAGTGAGATATGTGTCCCTTTTTACAACCCCACTTCACTGACAAAAGCTGTAGAATTGGAATTCTAGGTACAAAGATCTGAACATTGGAAAGGCTTTTGACTGCTCTCTTCACACCAACTCCGGAAAGGGTACCCTGTTGTACTTCCCATTCGCGCCAGCCGGGGGCAGGAGACACCGGAACATGTGCAACTGCCGGCTTTACCATTCTGTAAAATTTCCCCAATTCGTCATTGGGGTTGAGGAAAAATCTGCTGTTTTAACTTTGTTTTCTTTACGAACGTATTTTTCACAGAATCAATCGCAGCACTTCTTCCCCTTCCTGTGAGTGGGATAGGGGCCTCCGAACCCCGACCAGCACCAGAAAGTCATCCCCACTTGACTGGAGTTGACGTCAGAGAAAATCTATTTGCTGTCCCGAGCTCGAGGGCTTAGGACATGCCAGGCAACAGGACAGAAGTGCAAACAGGATTGCTTTTATGCCACAAAAAATCTGTGTGTCCTTCCATTGCTCATCTCAATGTGCTAAAAATCACAAAAGTAAATATGCAAACATGCACATTTTGAACAGAGCCTATAGGGAAAGGCCCTGCCAACCTCAGGCACATCGAGGCATCGCAAGGTGGTGTTGTTGGGCGAATCCCCGCACACAGAGGTCACCTGGACTCTCAGCTTCCCTTGGACATCACCCCTGATACCAACAACACAACCCTTGAGGAAACCATGGGCCCTCAAGTTAAACACGACAAAGCAGGAGAGAGAAAACATCTGCCCTTAAGCTCGGCAATGGAGAGCAGAGTGCCCAGTTGTGAGGGGAGGAGCGGCCACACCACCAATCATGGTGTCAGGCCTCTGAAGAAGCCAGAAGGCCTGATATTAGGGACCTCCATGAGCTGGCACAGAGAGCCCTCCAGACACAGTGCCCGTGGCATGACCGTGTTTGGAACCACTGGCTCTCCTTACAGGCCCACGGTTCTCAAACATGTTCAGATGGTAGAGCACTGGCACTCCTGTGGAACATCATGGAATATGGCTCCATTAAGTGAAAAGGCAACCAAGTGCTATAAAAGTTGATGCCAACTCCCATAGCATCTAAATTAGAGTTGTACGGTAACAAGTACCAAGAGGTGTAACTTTTATTAAATCTCCTAATGTGGAGACAATTCTATTAACATCCCCGAAACCTGGAGGAGAGAGTGCCGTTCAGTTAGCTATGAAACGTCTCCGCTCGGGCGCCCTCGGCTGGAGCAGGGCCGTCCTGTCAGGTTCCCATTAGTGCCTGATGCACACTTGCCGGCAGATCCCAAGAGCGGTGCTGTGGGGAAGCACCCGGAGAGCCGAGGCTCTACCCGCCTTTGATCTGCCATGGAGAAATCCAATCTACACACTACCACCAGCCTCCGGGGAGTCGGCCTGGGGTCGTCAGGTGGGCAGAGCGGCAAAAGTAGGATTTCGGCAGCTCACAGAACCCGCTCTGTGGCCAAAGGCCTCGCCTTCCAAGCAGTGTCTGACCTCTCAACTCTGACATATGTATTTACTCGGCAATGACAGCTTGCACTCCCACAGGGACAGCTTGACCACTTCTATCAAAGGGAATAAATGAAAGCTCACCTGGGTTCCGTAGCAAACAGTAGCTGCAGGAG